TGCTTGTGTGTCACATTTTGGTAATTCTTGGAATATTTCAAACTTTTTGTTATTATATGTATTATGGTGATTTGTGACCAGTGATATTTTGTTATTGTTAGAATTTTTCGGGGCACCAGGAACCATGCCTGTAGAAGATGGTGAACTTAACTGATAAATGTGTGTATTTTGACTGCTCCACCAACTGGCTGTTCCTGCATCCTCAGGCCCTCCTATTTCTTGTGACAAAATCGTTTTGAAATTATGCCAAGCTCTACAGTGACCTCTACCTGTTCAAGTGAAAGGAAGAGTTTCACATCTCTCACTTTAAATCGAAAGCTGGAAATGATGAAGCTTAGTACGGAAGACTAAGATTGTTGAAAACTGAGACAGGCCAAAAGGTAGGCATCTGGCGCCAGTCAGTCAAGTTGTGAAAGCAAAGGAAAAGTTCTCCAAGGAAATTAAAAGTACTACTCCAGGGAACACACAAATGACAAACAAGTGAAACAGTCTCACTCTTGATGTGAAGAAAGTTTTAGTGGCCTGGATGGAAAGTCAAACCAGCCACAACATTCCCTTAAGCCAAAACCTAATCTAGAGCAAGGACCGAATTCTGTGCAGCCTGAGAGGGGTGAGTAAGCGCCAGAAGAAAAGTTGGAAGCTAGCAGAAGTTGGTTCATGAGTTTTAAGGAAAGAAACCATCTCTATAACATACAAGTGCAAGGTGAAGCAGCAAGTGCTGATGTAGAAGCTGTAGCAAGGTAACCAGAAGATCTAGCTAAGATCATTGAGGATCACTAAATAGATTTTCAATGTAGATGAAACAGCTTTCTGTTGGAAGAAGATGCTATCTAGGATTTTCATAGCTAGAAAGGAAAAGTTACTGCCTGGCTTCAGAACTCCAAAGGAAGGCCCAGCTGTCTTGTTAGGGGGCTAATGCAACCAGTGACTTGAAGTTGAAACCACTGCTCATTTACTATTCTGTAAATCCTAGGCTCCTTAAGAATTATTCTGAGTCTACTCTGCCTGTGCTCTATAAATGGAAAACAAAGCTTGGATGTCAGTTCATCTGTTTCACAGAATATTCTAAGCCTACTATTGAGACCTACTGCTCAGAAAAAAAATTCCTTTCAAAACATTACTGCTCATTGAGAGTACACCTGGTCACCCAAAAGCTCTGATGGAGATACACAAGAAGATTAATGTTATTTTCATACCTGCTAACACAACAGCCATCTTTAGGCCACAGATCAAGAACTCATTTTTACTTTCAAGTTTTCTTTAAGAAGTACTGTTTGTAAGGCTATAGCTACCATAGTTTGTGATTCCACTGATGGATCTGGGCAAAGTAAATTGAAGACCTTCTGGAAATAATTCATGATTCTAGATGTCATGAAGAACGTTCATTGATACATGGGAGGAGGTCAAAATAGCAACGTTGAGAGGAGTTTGGAAGAAATTAATTTCAACCCTCATAGATAGATGACTTGGTAGGGCTTAAGACTTCAGTGGAGGAAGTAACTGCAGATGTGGTATGTTTCCACTGAGAACTAGAAGTGGAGCATGAATGTGTGACTGAATTGCTGCAGTCTTGTGATAAAACTTGAATGAAGTGTTGCTTCTTATGGATGAGCAGTGAAAGTGGCTTCTCGAGATGAAATCTACTCCTGGTGAAGATGCTGTGAAGATTGTTGAAATGATGAGAGATTTGGAATATTACATAAACATAGTTAATAAAGCAGTAACAGGGCTTGAGAGGATTAACTTCAGTCTTGAAAGAAGTTCAACTGTTGATAATGTGCTATAAAACAGTGTTGCATGCTTCAGAGAAATCTATCATGAAAAGATAATTGATTTGGAAAACTTCGTTGTTTCATTTTAAGAAATTGCCACAGCCACTCACCCTTCAGCAGTCACCACCCTAAACAGTCAGCAGCCATCAACACTGAGGCAAGACCCTCTGCCAGCCAAAATATTACAACCTACTAAGGGCTCAGATGATCGTCAGCATTTTTTTTAAGCAATGAAGTATTTTAAAATTAAGGTATATACATGTCTTTTAGCTGAACTCGGTGGCTCAGCCTGTAATCCCGCGTCTTTTGGAGGCTGAGGTGAGTGGATTGCCTGAGCCCGCGGGTTTGAGACCCGCCTGGGCAGGTGAGACCTCATCTCTACAATAAATCAAAAAATTGGCTGGGCGTGGTAGCACACGCCTGTAATTCCGGCTACTCGGAAGGCTGAGGCGGAAGGATCGCCGGAGCCCAGCAGGTTGAGGCTGCGGTAGCCGGGAGCGGCCGCTGCACTCCAGTCTGGGCGACAGAGTGAGACTCGAACTCAAAAAAAAAAAGGCATATACATATCTTTTTAGACACAATGCTGTTCCACACTTGATAGACTACCGTATAGTATAAGCATAACTTTTATGTACACTGGGAAACCAAAAAGTTTGTATGACTTGCCTTATTGCAATATTTGCTTTATTACAGTGGCCTGGAACCAAACCTCCAAAATCTCCAAGGTGTGCCTGTATATCCTTCCAGATTGTTTTATGTTTTAGGTTACAGGCAAAAGTTTGTGGACTGCTAGATAGAATATAACTGCTTTTGCCTAACAATATGCCTTCCTTTCCTTTATATATGTAGGGCAACTTACAGTTTTTCAAATTGCCCAGTTCTGTTTTGGGGAATGCATTATAATTTTCCTCTTGGTAGAAATGAGCTCCTATTTTATGTCCATCTTTCCACACATATGCTAGTGGGCCTGAAGGATGGATTCCTGGAAGTGGAATTACTGAGTCAAAGGTTATAGCAGTGTAAAATTTGACAGATTCTATTAAGTTGTCCTCCAAGAAGACTACCAGTTTCTATTACTAGAGCATATGGATGCTTATTTTTATGATTTTTTTCTTGTGGTTTTAATCATATTAGCATTTTGTGCCACTTTAACAATGTATTGTTTTGATAAGAACAACATATGTTTTCCACAAATTTATGTTGTGTTTATAATTGTAACTTGTAAAGTAATTGTAATAGTTCATCAGGGTCTCACAGTTTACCTAGCCATTGCTGGATTTTTAGGCTGCTTCCATTTTAAAAAAAAGTTATTACAATGACTTATTCTGAAATGCATGTATTTGTAAAAGTAGGTTTATCCTTTTATATAATTTTCTTAGAATAAGGGGAGATTATAGGGTTAATGGTTAGGTATAATTTGCGGTTCTAAGAACTTACAGTAATATTTCTTGCCTTTTTACATGCCGTGACTCGTGTGCTGTTTTTACCACAGTCTTACCAGCATTGGGTCCTATCTGTAACACGTGTTTTTCTTTTGCTAATTTGAAAGTGTCAGTGTTAAGGAAAGAAGTAGGAGAGACTGTTGGAACTGATAAAGTGCAGGGAGGTGGGGGCTCAGAGAGATCCTGACTTGATTGGAGCAAGAGGAGTAAGATGGAGAATCCCAAGGGGCTTGCCATGTGATGTGTTAGCTGGTACAGAGCCATATAGATTCTTGAGCTGAGAATTGACTGAGTTCAAAGCTGCCAATGACTGTGAAGGAGGAACTAGAGGTGGTACTGGCTCGAGGACAGGAGCTGTGGACATGACAAAGAAGATGGGCACCTTATTGTGGGAGACGCCATAGGAAAAGTGCTTGAACTAGAGCCAAGGTGGTATAATTTGGCAGTCTCGGACCATACTGACCTGATGGCTACCTCAGCAGTTTTTCTATTACTAGTCTCACAGTGGGGTGTAGAGAGCTGACAGGTCCTTTTCCCTCTCCAGGTCCAAGACAAGTTGCTGCTATCTGCATGCCACTTACTGGTCTCACTGGCCACCACCGTGCGGCCCGTCTTTCTGATCAGCATCCCTGCAGTGCAGAAAGTGTTCAACAGAATCACTGATGCCTCTGCCCAGCGACTTGTCGATAAGGTGAGGCCCCAGAGCTCCCCTGGGATTCTCAAAGCCTTGTGACTCAGACCCTAGAAAGCTGAGGAAGAAGATTCTGGCCTTTGTTTTTGTTCTCCGAGCTTATAAAGTCCATGCCAACCTAGACAGATTTTGTATGGGTGTGGCACTGACACAGCCACAGTGATTCTTATAATGCCCTCTCTAACATAGTGTACTGATTCAGATGTGAAAAAGCTCCTCCCAGTGTGTAGAGACGTTTTGCTGCTTTACAAACTTGTAATTTTGTCCAGTGTTGTGAGAATCTTTTTTGCGTTCTTTTTGGTTCAGACCACTCTGATTTTTGTTGTTGTTGCTCTGTGTGTGTGTGTGTGTGTGTGTGTGTGTGTGTGTGTGTGTGTGTGTGTGTGTGTTTAGGGTTAAGAAGCTCCAGGCAAATGTATTCTTTTAGAATTCTCCTTAGGAGGCTCTGTCTTTAAGTTTAAAAACAAACAGAAAGGAGGTGGGGTAGGCGGGGTTTGTAGCAGTTACTTCAGAGCTCCTGGATGTGAGTGCATTGCTTTGGTGTGGTGCTAAGGGCACCTGGATTATGATTCTCTGATCAGACCTGTTCTAAGTAGCTTCTCAGAGGGTTTCAGAGCCAGCACCTGAGGGACGCATTAGAGTCAGTGTCTGCAGTTTGATTTCTCCCTGTGTAATGCTTCAAGTATCAGATTAGAGGGGAAGTGAGAACACCAGGAAGATTATTGAGGCGGGGTTATGCTAGGCCTAGACATGTGTTATTGCTTTATTTCTTTTTCCTCCTGGTTTGCCTTAGAGTCAGACCAAAGGCCCTGCCCAGTTAAAAGAAAGGAGCCTGGGGCCTGAGTTCCAAGTGTTCAGTGGGTGCCGAAGGCTGTGTCAGGCATGGCTGCTCTGCTGTCTTTTGCTCTTTGACCTCTGATGAGTGCCTTTGGGGTTTCTTCAGGCTCAGGTTTTGGTGTGCCGAGCTCTGTCCAACATCTTGCTGCTTCCGTGGCCAAACCTTCCAGAGAATGAGCAGCAATGGCCTGTGCGATCCATCAACCATGCCAGCCTCATCTCTGCACTCTCCCGGGACTATCGCAACCTGAAACCCAATGCTGTTGCCCCACACAGGAAAATGCCACTGGATGACAGTAAGTGACCCTAGGCAGGGACAGTCCAGGGATGGAGGTGGGGCAACATTTCTTCCTTCGTAACAGATGAGATTAGACTTGAGCCTCCTGGGATGAATTCCTTTGTCCATAGTCACACAGCTGCAAAAGAGTAAAGCCACACTCAGGGTTAGAATCGCGCTTATGGAATTCAGTTAAGACATCAGCCAGGCCTATTTCCTGAATGTAGACTGCCCCTTCTCTTGTTTAAAGTAAAGAAAGTCTGGAGCCCTAAGAAAAATGTCCACAGAAGATACTGTTGATGGTGACTTCCACCGACAGAACAAAGCTTGTAGTGATGATTGTTTGATTTCAGTTACTTGAATAAGCTAATAAAGAACTTAACCTATACACACTGGGAAAATGAACTTAAGAATTGTCTTTTGAGATTGGTTTTAACCTTTTTCCAAATGCAGATATTTCAGATTTTGAAAGCGCTTGGTTTCTTCCAATAGTGGTACTTCAAGTTTGGTTGTTTATGTTAAAGAAAGAGAAAAAAAATATAGGAGAACTCTGGTTTAAGTGTAAGGTATCAGATTTCTCTGGAAAAATCTTTCTGAAATAACACATATTTCAGAAATATTTAAAAATATAATCTTTTTTCAAATAAGAAAATAATGGAACATTATTAGATGGTGTCATTTATAGAGTGTCAACAAAAATGCCTTGTGAAATATCAGCAATAGTAATAAGTACTTAGTATTCTTTCTAAAAGCACTTTTATTTATTTATTTATTTATTTTATGTTTTTATTTTTTTTTGAGCTGGAGTCTCACTCTGTCTCCCAGACTGGAGTGCAGTGGCCGCTCC